ATAGTCGAAAAGCTTAAATTTCCAATTCAATTTTTAATTATTATTGTTATTCCACAGCAGCTGAGGTGAACAAAAAAATGTTAAAATGCAAACTGGGCAATTTCTTAAAAGAAGAATACTGCATTATAGATTCTGTTTCACAGTATATATTTCACTATAATTTGGGCCAAATTACTTTCATCTCACCAGGAACCTTCCTTCCTGGGACATTAGTAGGAAATTATTGAGCTATAAAAACAAGTGCTAACTGTTTCTATCTGCTATGAATCTTTTCTTTATTTAACCCACATGAATTTGAGCTGACCACAGCCCCTGACACTGCAAACTTTCTCCCAAAAGACATTGAAGTGAATGTTTTATTTTTTAAACCAGTTTTCACTGGAGCTTTACTCCTTTTTTGGTTTTAGCAGAAGCTTCAAAATAAGACTTTCCACAGTAGTTACCTATTTAAACAGTCTAATAAAGTAAATTATATGCAAATGACTGGACAAAGGATGCCTGTGTGAGAAATTAGTTAATTAACTTGCTATAGTGAGTCATTAATACCCACATTGTGTTTTAACACATCCTACTCCCTCTTCAACACTTTTAAATTCATCATTATAGACCTGCAGTCACATGGCATTAATCGCTCCCTGAGGACCCTCTCTTTATCTCATTCTCACCACCTCCACCCTGCAACTACAGTGTTGTACAGTGGCACTTTAATTTCCAGCCTACCCATCTATTTTTCTGTTTCTCTTCTTTTCCCATTCTCCTTCCTCTCTTGCCTCCTCCCTCTCTCTCTCTCTCTCTGTTGTCCAGGTCAGAGTTCGCATTGATGTACAACGATCGGTCGGTCCAGGAGAGTCATCACCTCAGTGCAGCGTTTCGGCTGCTGCAGGACGACCAAATGAACATCTTCATCAATTTGACACGAGAGGAGTGGATGTAAGACGATCAGATGTGGCACTCAATAGAGGAAATACCTGCACCAAGGCTCAGCAGTCTCCTTAAATTCAATAACGCTGCAGCAAATCGCACACACTCATAGATATCAACTCCCTAAAAGTGCATCATGAATTATCCGTTCTTCGCTGACCTGTACCACATCCTGCCACCAAGTGTTTGTGGTAATCCATTTGACTGTTATTGTGTAATCTTGCTCAAGCAAAGTACCAACGAACAGGCAGACCAGGTGAAAACGTAACCTCCTTGGAGGTAAGAATATTTGAAAACTTCAACCTTCAAATTGGGTAAAATGTTTAGGGAAAGTTTAAAGGAAGTGAAAAGGTTTTGTTCTTTCTGTTACAGTTTAACTCTTGGTATCAATTGATATGAAGGGATTTCCAACATGACAATGATGTTGAACCTACAGATGTTTGTTAGCCATCTACAAAGTAAATGCCCCTATATTCAAAGAATATTTGAAATCCAGCATGAAATACGACATATTTTTCTACATCCCGCCGATAAATATCTTCTGTGCAGCTGAAGTCTGATAAGTTACTTGCTTTTTTACTTGGTCATAGACCAAAATGTCTTTTCCAGAACCCATTAAAAGCACATCAGTGGACACATGGGCACTTACTTCTTTGGTTTTAGTCTGTCCCACACACACACACACACACACACACACACACACACACACACACACACACACGATACTGTAATCACTCACTGCTGCACCAAATGTGCATTAATCTGTATTTAAAAATCAGCCCACACAAACAGACTATTTATTCCTATGTGACTAAAAACTATAGTGCTGAACTGTTTTGATAAAATAACCTTTTTTTAAATGGAAACCTCTTAAATAGTAAAGTTGTAAATAGCGCAGATAAGTCAGCAAATATTGAGACACTGAGGAACATGTTGCTTTAGGTCGTTCTGGGGAATATGTTGATAACACATGAACTGTAGATTGACCATTGTTGCATGGAAATAAGAGAAGCTGTGTCATTTGAATTGTGAAAAAAAGTGACAGAAGACTAATTGTCTGTCCACCGTGAATTGCCCTTGTGAGACTTTCCTCCGGTCGACCCTGATCTTTGACCTCCTGAGATGAAACGTCTCCTTTATGAATCAATAACAGATCATATTACTATTCCTGTTCAGTGACTCAGTCATCAGTCCGCAGCGGTGTAGTGGATGAGTCACATGTGCGTTTACTGACAAACAGAGTTTTGGTCAGTGAGCTAAAATGGCTGTGATCTAAATCTTTAAAGTATTAAAGTAAATAAACTTTGGTTACAGGTTAATTTATGATATCATGACATTCTCGTTCACTTTCTATATATTGTTGTG